TGAACAAAATGAAAAATTATGATTAGTTGAATGAAGTTTGTACGGTTTGTACAAATTAGGTGGTTTTTATTTGAACGCTCCCCTATATATATATAAAATAATATCCTAACACATGACCGCCTATACTTGTGTACTGTTTCCACATGTACGCATAATATCATTTTACCACACATGTGTCACGTATTTCATGCATATATTTCAAGATAACATGCATGCTATCACATAATTCACGTAATAAACACATAAGGTTACCTTGACCCAGGTTTGCAGAAAACCAGATTATAACAAACTAGATCACTGAGTTGATTTTGCATTGTTTAAATAAGCTAGTCAACGGTGCTTGGAGGAATAAAAAATGAAGTATGCGAATGAATAAAAGTATACAAAGGTGTTGTTGGAGGTGAAAATACAAACCCCACAACTTACTTCCTCAAATCAAATTTTGACGCTGGCAACTTTTACGCCGTGGGACTGACCTGATCAGCCTAAATGTCGATTTTTGCTCAACCTAAATTGTAATTTTTATTTTTATTTTTGAATGGCTATTTTGTACAAATGAACATTTGATTCTTAATTTCCTCCTTTTGGAGACAGAGGATTGATTTGGGGGTTTTTCTTAAGTGTTGGGTAAACTTGGTGTTAACTCACAAAAGTTATAAATTAGTCAAATGTTAACCTTGAAGTCAAGGTAATAGTATGGCCCTTGTGGTAAATGTTACTTGTTGAATTAGTCGAATGTGGATATTCCATCTTTGATGTCATATTGCATTGACTCTATATGTGTTGTTCACGCTTATGACAAGAGAGGAGTTTTTATTTCCTCTTCTTGGTGTCATTGGTTCGAGACAAGGGAGAATATTTGATGTTCTCACCTTATAACCTTTGATTATAGACAAGTGAGAAATTTCCAGGTTCTCTTCACCCTTGGGTAGGGTTTTTCGCAGTCCAGTTTGAGCGGTTTAACCCCCAAACCACAAACGAAACCGCAACGGTGGTTTAGGAAAATTTTCAAATCGAACGGTTTGATGCAAGTGACCAAAATGGTCAAATCGGACCACAAAAAAACGGTCTGGTCTGAACGATTTAGACGAGTTGGATCTCTTATGGGATTTTAACTCAAAAAACATACCATCTATATTCAAAATGAAATTTCTACCAATATAACATTATTAAAAAATAGGATACATTATAAAGGGTACATCTATCTCTATATATAACTAAAAAAAATCGAGGAAGTAGAAAAAAGGTTAGACAAATCCACTAATAATGGTTGAAACTTTAGACAAATATTATGCAAGTCGAACAACGATCTAGAATTTTAGATTTCATTTTTTGACAGCTTGTATAAATTTTAGATTTCATTTTTTGACAATTTGTATACAAGCCTTACAGATTTGTACATTAACCCTTTTTTCAATCAAAATGAAAATGCAAAATGTAGAAGTGCCCCTCAAGTGAGGTCATTTAACCGAGGGATTTAGCGGATTAATGGCAGGGGCCAGTAGTGAAAGCAAATTGAGACAATGGATGGTCTGCTACAAAATTAAAACAATGAAAAAAAGGCAAAATCTCAATATACTTGAGGGACGATTTATGTAATTTCCTATAACAATTATCAATAGCAAATGAAACACACCCCCCTCGCCTTGGTAGGGTTGTCATTGATCAATAGAAAAGTAAGGTTACCAGCATAGCTTTTATTAAAAGCTCGGCCAAGGCCGGATTTGAAAACGGTTAGAACAATTACATTGAATCCCACTTTTTTCTCACCCCAACCGCTCGGGGACTAGGACTGACAGGAACCAACTTTTGGCCGTCTCTAATAACCAGTAAAGCAAGCAAGAATTGCTTACGAGTTTTCTGCTACTTGGCTCGGGGTTTTCGGGATGGTGCCCAAGGGCGAGTGGTTAAGCCCTAATCTCGGAGAATAACCCACATCTAGTTGAGCTAAAACAGATATACTATTACAATTCCAAAACACTTCATATGCACAAAAAAAGAACCATAACTTTGGTTGCAACTTGTAAGAGTACCCATTTGTTTACATACAACAAACTCAAACCAACCACATGCAAATCAAAAAAAAACAAGAGTTCACCTATTAAAACAACATCCAGGTTTGTTCTTTATTTTGAAGAAGAAATCCATAACCAAAACCAAAACCAAAAACGTATAATGCTTTATATGGATACAACCGTGTCTCCGGTCAACCTGGCCATAAAATTACATTCTTATGCTGCATAATGCTGGAATTTTGAGCCACATTTTGCTTTCAGAAAACCCAAATTATAAATTAAAAGAAAAGGAGAGAGAGAAACAAGCAGTAAGTGAAGACTGATATGATTGGAGTAAAAAATATGGTACTGGAGACCATCTGGGATCTATTAATTTTCTTTCTATCAAGAGTTGAACCAAAAAGAAAGAAACTTCAGAAAAACAGATGATGCAAAGCATTTGCACCAAMATAAGCACACTAGCAAACCTGGTTTTCCTCTATGATCGTATCTTCGTTTCCACTTTCAAGCATCATATCATCACTCACCCTCTTCCTGAAAGTCAAAAAAATAGGTTCATACAAAAGCAACTGAAACAATACAAGACAAATGCAAGAGATCGAAGACATTTGTACGTCTGCTGTTTGGTACGACTACAACATGACCTATGCTGTTAATATCGCGATATATCGGCGATATATCGGATATCGCTCCTAGAGAAAATATCGGTCCATAAATATCGGTCAAAATATCGTCCCCGATATTACCGGCGATATTTTCCGATTTTCCCGATTTTTAGCGATATTTTCATGCAAATATCGGACCGATATATCGATTTTTTAGGGTTTAAATATTTGGGCTTTTGTTACTTCATGGGCCTAGTTTTTTGGGCTTGGTAACTTAAATTAGATCTGAAATTGATCTGCCTCCACAACGGTCTTCTTCTTTCTTTTATATTAGCTCGTTTTTGAACACTTTAGATGATGTGATGTTTTAATTTTGAAACTATATTTTAAACTCTAATTAATGCATATTATATATATAATTCTAAGAATTATTATGTTAACCGCTATTTTCGACCGATATATCACCGATATAACCGATATATCGAATATCGGTCCTGACCGATATTTCGTATTCTGACCGATATAACAGCATAGAACATGACTAGACAAGTTGTTTGTAATATGTTTAGTAAGCTGGACAACAGGACAAAAATGTTAAAACGACCACATTGCCCTCAAATTATGTTTAACAATTTTTTTATCAACCTAAAGACAGGACAAGAACCTTCAGGCAAGGGTTAGGGGTTGCCAAACAAGCACAAGGCCATGGAAACAAGAACCACAAGGGGAACCCTTTACAAGAACCAACTTTCTTTGTAGGATTGAGAGTTACATCGCTCAGTCTCGGATACAACAAGTATTAACATATATTTGCATGATTGCCATTTCCCTTTCTAGCTGTCAACAGAGTTTAAACTAAAAACTGGCAGAATTGCATGAAAATTCCAAGTGACCATCACTACCATTAGGGCTACAGGTGGTTARAAGTGGTTATGAAAAGCATTCATGTAAGTTAACTGTGGGAAAGATAATACAGGTTAGATTTGGAATTTAGAAACAATAGCACTTAACAAAAAGCAGTGGGATAAGTGAACAATGGGAAAGATATGCAGATATTAGATGTTGAATTTAGGGACAATACTTACCCTTTTGACATCATTGGATAGCTCCAGATCAGAAAGGGAATTTTTGGAAATACAATGTGCATGCACAATGGGACCACCAATATTTCCAGCTTCACCATCTTTGATATTAAGGTGCACAGCTCTTCTAAACATCCATTTGTYCAGTTCTTGACTGTAAAAGTCATCAAACAGCTCACCACACAAAATGCACACACATTGACTTTCATCAGCAGCGACCATCTGCTCACCGTCAATTTCCACTGCTGCCTCCAAAGAATCCACAGGCAATATGTTATGATCACTAGACTGAAGTTCAGGCTTCTCTGTACCCCAATCATACGAATTTCTGAACCATCTCCTTGACACTTTATTTGGAGTGTTGAATTCAGGATTTTTCAGTGTATGCCACTCAAGGTGTCTCTCGAAACGTTCTTGAAGTTTAAACCTTAGGCCACATATGTGGCATTGATGTGGAAGATCAATGAGTTCACTGATCACGGCAGGATGTGACCTCCGAATAACATCAGGCTTGAACTCAAAACCAATTAGACTTTTTATATCTACTGTGGTGGATTGAGTACTCTTCACATTAGAGAGAGATGATTCATTGTTTATAGATGAAGTGGATAGCACTGAGGAAACTACTGCAGGAACTGTGTGTGATGGTGGGGTATCAATTTTAGGGCTCTGGCTCCTTGTCGGACTTGCGTCAGGAGTGTCAGCTTTTGACGCATAAATTAAGCCCTTTGCAACCAGCGTACTCAGAAGATTCGAGACAGGATTTGATACAGCGGTTGCCATGCTTGAAGTCTGCGTTGATGTACTACCAACAAGAGAGGGAGGACCAGGTGGCAGAGGCAATATGCTGTCACGCGAAGATGGACTTGGGTGAGATGACATGACACTAGGGCCTGAGGATGTAAATTGAGTTGGGGGAGGACYGCTCGGTAGCGGAGGCCCTGAATTAGATTCAGTTTGGGAATTCATCTGCAAAATACTACCAGCAACAGACTTGTTGCCAAATATGCTGCTAACAGCRGCTAACAAGTTTTCAGTAGTTGAAGGTCCAKGGATATYTGCAACAGGAGATTTTGAATGATCCAAAAGRTTTGCATCAACAATCTTKATGGYTGGAGATTGAGAAGGTTCGGATAYRGTTCCTGGATGGAGAGGAGCATGYTTTTTTGAATGTAATGGCAAYTGATKWGAGGATGTCTGTAAATTCCGAATCTGCRGTTTTTGAGGATTGRCCATATGGGAAATCTGAGRTATCCCTTGAAAAGAATCTTGAGTAGATTGACTAGAAAGCCCTGTGTTCTTTTGTCCTCGAGATCGAGCAGGTTTACCATCTGCACCAACCAGCTGACGAGTCGTTGGTGGATCTCGCCCAGACAAGTTATGCAATATTTTACTTGAATGATATGTTGGGAACGAGGGTGACGGAGGACGCTGGTGTGTTGGTGCTTGTCCTGATGGTGATGCAGCTGCAAGAGTATGTCGTTGGCCTGTTATTGCATTTGGAGGAAATCCAAGTGGCTGGGTTCCAACGTGAGAGGCGCCCATCTGTGGCTGCAAAGAGGTCTTGGAGAGAGAGTTAACAGATGTAGATACCCCACCGAAAGAGGTAGAATGAACTTCTTCATGATCTAGTAAATTTCTAAGAGAGCTTAATGATTGCACTGGCTGTCTAAAAACTGCTCCATCTTTCTGGTTTGCAGATAGTGAATCAGATGAAGCTTCTCTATCAACCCTTAAACCAATATTTTGTATCCCTTGTGGTTTCTGGAGGCGATTCTCAAAACCCTGCAAGGTAAAAAAAATGAAGATCCTCAGTCAGAAGTTGCAACTAGTTTTACATGCAAATAAACAGAACAATGAACTTCTAACATGCTCCAGAGTCTTAAAGATAACTGCAATTGATGTCCTGCACGCCACGATAAGAGGATAAATGATAAAACATTAAGGGAGGTACTTGAGCAATGAACTTAGCCAAGAATCTTATGCACTGATATGATCCTGGGAGAAATAATTACAGAAGGATGAAAAACCAAGTTGCATGATCCATATCATATGCCTTGTTCAAGTGCACACACCACTAAAATCAAAAACTAAAAACACATGCACATGTGAAACGGGATTACTTTTTGCAATCATAAACGGACAAGGGCCCACTGAATTTTTTCATAAACTGCTATGTTTAGGAGTGCCCAACTTGTATGTATATTCATCCAGCAAGTTGCAACTTCTCATATGAAATTTACCAAGTTTCAGATGGGAGTCTGTTTTCTTAACACTTACCAACTTTTCATTCATGGGATGTGCACGAGGGTCTCTCTTGGAGCTACTACCAGATTTGCCCGGAATCGCCAATCGTGAGTTCATGTCATCCCACATGTACTCCTCTTCCTCCGAGTTCTTCCAGCTTCTATTTGCCTCACCGCCTCTTTTGCTTGCAATGTTATTCATAGGCTGCAATTTGACATCTGCATTTGCAGTTCTAGAGGCTGACAAATTGGGGAATCCATGCTTTACATCAAAACCGTTTCTCTGGCCAGATATAGTCTCTGTAGTATTGCTGCCAGCTCCATACCAAGAATTGTCAAATCCCTGCTCAGCAACTATTTCACTCGATTTTCCAAAACTAGCCTCTGAAGGAATCAACACATCAGAACAATAATCAAAATCACTATATGGTGCACCATCATTCTCACGTAAACAAGTGCTCTCCACATCTCTTTGCGCCTGCTGAATGTTCTGCAAAATTTAACATTCTGTTAAGTAATTGTCACAAATGTAATGGGCTAAATTATGAAATTCAAAATACAAACTACTATACATTTACCTTAAGCCGAGGATCTGCACGTGGCCTCACAGAACTAATATTGGCTGTTATTCTGTCTTGTCTCTCGGTATCCTCAGGTGAGTTCATTAGGTTTGTGTCACTAGTTGGACCTTTTGCCTTCATCACATAGTTCAAAAATGAAGACAAAAAAATATCAACCACAGAACCTGGATGTTATATGACAGGTGTAGGTGCGCTCATGCTAGCAAGTGCTCATAAAATGATCCATGCTTTTCAACAGTTACTACTAAAAACTTGTAAATCTCTTTATTCAAGCATAAGCACATAATCAATTATCTAGGAGCTCAGGAAAAAAAAAGCAGACACAAGGCAGTAGTGTTGGATGCTACCATTCACCAAGCTGGTCCGCTCACACGGAAAATCTAAGATATATCCCTCTTAATTTAAGTCTCAAGTAAAAAAGCTGTTTGCAAGCCACAGTTGTGAGTTGACGCGTTGAATTGGTCAAGTGTTAAGCATATATAACAATATTCTGAAACATAAGATATATTTTTCCTGAAGTCTAACCAGCATCACATCATTTAATTCCCAGAGTCTGGTTGAAGAGAAAATGTAATTCAATAGGATTTCGCTTGTGCCTATAGCCTTACATATATCACTGGTTTCTTATTACTCCTTATCATTTGAGTGATGGAAATTTTAGGGCATTAGAGTCAAAAGAGACTAGTCTAACTTTGAGGAGAAAATAAAATCCAAAGACGCACATGAAATGTGTAAATTGAATATGTAACCCTGCCCTTCCTTGCTTTATGAACCCACAAAGAATCTCAAGTAACTAGAAACATATATTTGTTGCAGCAATCCATCAGTTGATCAAAATATTATAAACCTTTTCAATTTGTAAGAAGGTTCCGGTGCAACTGATAAAACATTACATTTTTTAAATATCCCCTTACCGTACTTGACTGTTGCAGTCTCTGTCTCGCCTCCAAATACTTCGGATTTACATGAATACTGCGAMCAGGGCGTTGAGGCTGTGGCTCGGATCTAGATGCTGCCAACCCTGAAGAAGATCCATTTGTAGCTGATTGGAAGCCAAGTTCTTTCTCTATAAATTGAAGTGACTGAAGAGGGAATACTCCTTTCCAAGTCCCAAAAAGATGCCGCATACCAGGATGTACTGCAGAATCAACCTGTCTATATGCCTTGCAGAAAACCTAAAAGACGCACCCAAGGGAGCAACTAACCAGTGATGATTAATATCCATAGGACTAACAACGAATTTGAACACAGAATACATGGTCAGAGATCATGTTGATGGCAAGTTACTGGTTCACCATGAAGCACTCGTTCAAGTGGATTAACAACTAAAAGAGAATGTTTTTGATGTTTCATTTATAGAGCCAAAAGTATACATCAAAGAAGTACAAAATTTAAAAAAAAATAGGAAAATGCTCTTCTTTATTTCCCTAATCTTCATGGTATTTTTCATGTGGAAGACAAATAAAATGGCTAAAAATATGAGAGAAACATAGTTAAAAGGCACTTCGGGTGACTAAAGATCTAACCTCAGGTAGTCTGGCAGCAAAGTATTTGATGTAATCTCTCCCAATATTCTTCACAATACTGTCAAGAAGGTATAATGATGGCAACTTTTGATCACGGGGAACCTAAAAACAAATTTCAAAGTCAGAAACAGTTTCAATCAAAAGAAGCTCTTCACGAAGCTAATATAGGCATTTTCTGGACAGTAAACATAAGCAAGAGATATATCATGAAGAATGACAAGTAATCGCATTTCAAACTTAAGACAGTACGGTAGCCATAATACATAATAGTAACGCAGTACGCCATCCAAAACCTCCATTTCCACAAGCTATAACCAACACAAAAAGGCCATCACCTCACTTCTTCTCTATATCCCAACCCCTTTCAACTATCACCATCATCAAGCACATTCTATAATCTTTGCAAAACTGGCATTTTATATTACCTCAAGCTAATTTACAGCAATGCAAATGCTTAAAGACTCCCTCCATAAAGAAATGAAGCTGAAGCATGATTTGAAGTTCAATTAGTAGCCCAACAATTGTTCCATATTCAATATAACATTAGCACCTCCCACAAGGCTTGTTATAGTTGGTATTAAGTTGCAGGTTAAAGAATCACATAAGGGTCAAAATTCACATCACAACAACATTAAAAAGAGAACTTTTTCATTCACACGGTCTGCGATTGTTGCACTGGTGCTGGATTCATGGTGTCGCATATATTCACGAAAGTACAATGTTAGTTTGGAATCCATATATCCATTAATCACAACTCCCAATTACAATTCAACACTTTAATATGGTGAACTAAATAAAATCAACGTATAACACTAACCATAATTCTAGAGACTATTCCTTTTCTTATTCTATTATGGAAACCAAAATCATCACCTCAAGAATATTAGTGCAGATTGTAGCGGCTATGGCTTTTGCAGCCTGCACGTTCTCTCCCGCAATGATAGTCAGGTTAGTAATAATAGGTTTTGAATTGAAAGTCAGCTCCGCCAGTGCTGTCCTATACTGACTCACAAGCTCATGATGCTGCTGCTGTTGCAGCTGTGATTGCGTTAGCGATTGGGGCTGATAACCTCCTCCACTCCTTATTGAATCATTGCCTTCTGAGTCTCTATCTCTCTCCGCTGTCGACCGGAACCCAAACACCGGCTGCCTTTGAACAAGGGGCCTACCACCACCGTTAGGAACATTACTACTGCCGCGAAGAAACGGTGTTTCTTCAGTTAGTAATCGAGGTTTTTTCAGTGTAGCAGGATCTCTCGACGATCTATCGAATGGTCTACCACGAGAAGTGCTGTCCATCTCCATTGTTATACACCGCCAAATCAAAATTAAATCAAAACAAAAACATAAAACGATAAAGAAATAGTTCCCTTCTTACAATTAGATTATTACAAAGTTTAACTACTAACTTCATACCAATCTTCACAAAAAGAAAAACAAATCCGAAAACCCTAACCCTAACTATCGTTGATTACAAATACACAAATCAAAAACAACAAAAATCAAGAACTACACGTGAAGAGTCGATTGAAGAATCTTGAAATTGAAACGATTCGGGGAGAGTTCGATTGATGGAGATATTATATGATGGAAGATCCTTGGTTCGTGATGGTCAAGTTCCTGATTTGAATCTCGTTTTCTCGTGTGCGTTTGTTTGATGTCGGGAACAATGTGTGGATAAAAAGGTCTAGAGATTTCATAAAAGAGGGAAGAATGAGTTCACCCGGAGCCCAAATGGGATGGGCTTTAGCACAAATCAAGCACCGGCTGCGAGTCTAGAAGTGGCCAAGAATAGGTCCAGGCCCGGTCCTACCTAAATTCGTCATACCTTCCCGACTCAAATACGAAGTTCCAGTTAAAGTCTATGGGGCCTGGTTATGAAAACCGGTCCCGAGTCGGTTCAAATCGGTTACACTTAATAGTTTTTTTTTTTGAAATTAATTTTTAACATATAAAAAATATTTTTTGAAGAATTTGGTCTATCAATACACTAACAAATACGTTTTCATTACAAATTGGTCAATCAAATAAACTAAAAATACATTTTGGTGCTAAATCAAATACAATCAAATATAATGTATAAATAAATTTTAAATAAAAATTGGGTCGGTCCCATAACCGGTCCTGAGTCGGGCCTTGTTTTCGGTGGAATATCATAATTGGTTAAAGACCGTTGAGCTGGTCCCGGTTCCAATCGGTTCCGGGCCGGGCGGTCTCAAGTCAGTCTCGGTCATCCATTGTTTTCGGGCCAGGCTGGGCCCATTTGGCCTTCTCTACCGATGACCAAAAATATTGACCCCTTGTCCTTTAGTGGAAATGGTAAAAAAAAAAATATCTTGTCCGAGCTAGGCTAGTTCTAAATCAGTCCTGATCTTAAATCGAACCCTTTAAAATTAGGTCTCGCTCATGACTAAAGTTTCTAGGACCAATCTAGGTCTCGTTCCCGACCTCATTGGGTCGGTACGAAATCTGGTCTCAGGCTCGACATGACTTTTAAAAATATATTTTTAAATATTTTTTACATAAAAATATTGTATGTGTTTTTATACTTACGATTTTTGAAATGTAATAGTTGCAATACATTTAAGTGGATAAAATCTTGTAAAAGTACTAAAAATTTGTATTACGATTTATAAAAACTTAAATGTTTCTTTGAAAAAATGGGCCTATGCATTACTGATTCTGGACTGGGGCTTAGAATTCAATAAAATTTATAACTGGTCTTGAACAGTTGGGTCATAGCCGGGCCATATCGGTCCTAGTTTAGCCATCTCTACCGCCTAGTAGAGACAAACAGTTGGTCCAGTTTTTGCAACCGATCCCACAACTAGAACGGGGACATGAAGTACAACTGTTATGGTTCAATTGATCGGACGTATATACATAACCGGGTCACCCAACAAATTAACAAAAATCAGGAAGAAATTGGGTCATAAAGCCTCCCTTAGGGATGAAAACGGAGCGGATAATACATCTTGATGGTCTTGGAATGGTAATGACTAACACAGAAAATGTTTGTAGAAAACCAAAACAAATTTTCATTTATTAATTTTATATGTATAAAAACAAAGAATTATGTATTTGTTGTAGAAGTTAGGGAGGTGTTGGTTCCAGCAGGATCTACAAGAATTATAGGTAATCAGTTTGTAGAAGATGGGGGATGAATACAAACATAAAAACTTTCACTTTTAAAAAGTATATATTGATAAAAAAAACCAACACAATTACAAACAACAAAGAGAAAAGATTTGCTATAAGAAATAAATATAAGAATGCAAGTGCTCTTCACTTGTTCTAAGTGGTTCTTTCTCTTAGGATGAGAGTAGAGAGAAGTAACTTCTTATGTAAGTTAGTAGTGGAAGGATGATAACTGAGAGGAGAGCACTCAACTATTTATATTCATTGCATTAAATGCAATTCAAAAGGTACAAAACACGTGTCAAGCTTTTGGAGAAAAGTTTGTCATTTGCTACAGTAAACAGTCCTTTTGGCTGTATATAAACAGTCCTATTTTCATAAAGTAGATAAGCACTATAGAGTCAACGGTGTGGCTCTGTACTGTACTATACTCTAGAAAATGTGTGAGTTTGTCCATTGTGTGAGGGAGAATAAGACAAAAACAATCGTGTTTGGTAAGTTTCCTTTGATCGGTGAATTTGGAATGACACTGAAAGGTCTCGCTGAAAGTTGAGCAGACTTCACACATGTGTAGACGAGCTTGTAATTATTGAATGCCGCTTTAGATCACGAACTTATTGTTTTATACTCTTCAGCTTTTGTCTTCGACATCGCTGAAGAACCTGTGGTGTGAGTTTTGTTTTCTTGAAGTATAGCAGTCTCCGAAAGAGTTATAATACATGTTCAGCAATCACTGAACAAACTCAGTGAAGATCGCTGAAACTGAACATAAATACTATACTTCGTAAGATAAAAGGAGATAATCATCAAATCAATAAGAGAGATGATCTACCCCTATTTGATGATGACAAAACAACAGAAAGAAAATTGCCTAAGTTATAATAGTAAGGAAAAAGGTACAAGTAAAATACAAGTCCCTTTTAACTATTTTGGGATTTTTTTCAGTGATACATTTTTCTTATAAAATTTACTTAAGTTGTAAAGGATTACAGTTCAAGAGAAACAAATACAAGCATGATAACTGAAACTGAAAGCGTATTCATTGACTGAAAGTTGTAAGTGAATGGAAGAGTAAGTTGGAACTCATAGATACTTGTTCATATTACTCTTTTCAGAAATATTTTTTAGTGACACTAAAGAAGACTTCATATTATTCATAGGAAAATTTTCAAGTGTTACATCAGTGATTGCTAGACCTATTATATATAGATTGTACACTGAAAGAAATGAAAGGAAAACAATATTACAAGATAGAAAGTTAAACTAATCTAAGCTGCTGAAGTTGATGTACCCTGGTATTCTTCTCCAAGCTTCTTTCGACGTAGATACTCATTTCTGATCCTGCGATCCCTTGTCTCACCAGGTAGGTCATTGTCCAACCAAGTTCTAAGATATTCAAGGTGGTCTATTAGATAGAGACTGAACTCAAATACTCGCTGGAAGTTGTGCTCATCGTCATAGTCAATGAGTACTAATCCATAACCAAGTTTATAATGCATAGTTTTAGGTACGTAAGGACCCTTCGCTGGTAGAGTTAGATTCAGCTTAGAGATATCTGGATTCTTTTGATCTTTTAGGATTTCCTCTAAGGAGAACTTAGTTTCATGTCCGTTCCTATGAGTAGGTCCATCATTAGGATCTGAAATGTTCCTTCTTCTTTTAGGCAACAACTCAGGCACTGGAGGAACAACTATGAACTTTGACACCTTCTTGATAAGATCATTCAGGATGTCTTCGATCATTGGTCGGTGCCTGGACTTTGAGCGCTAGATGGTTTGGCGAATCTCTAACCATTCTTCATAGCCATACTGCTTGAGATACAAAGGATACTCGGTGACAGCCTCAAGGTTGTCTCTGGGATGACCATTGAGACGAGCATTCCACCATCTTTCATTCGTCCATTGATAGTGACGTTTGAAATCCGATGGGGACTTATTCTTTTCTTTATATGCTCTTTACTCTGTCTTTGATAGCGGTCCTTCAGCGTCAGTGCTCTCTAGTGTTCTCGTTCAGCTTGAGAGAGTAGTTGGGCCTGGGCCTTGACCGCCTCTTTCTTCTTCAGCTTCCCCTTGGCCAAAGCTTTGACTGCAAGACACTTCACCAGCTTCAAGTTGTCTTCCATCTATTGTCTTGTACGCGGAGCTCTTCTTCGGCCTTGAGGGCTTCCTCACGTTCAACTTTTGTGAGAAAATCAAACTCACTACAACCAGAGGTACGAAGAGGAATTTTTACTCTGGTTTGGTCGAGTTGACTCCTCGGTTGAGTCATCCTTTGGTCTGCAAGAGTTCAGATGTTGGAATTTTAGGAATATTTTCATCTGGAGGACCAATAGGGATCAAAGAAGAATTAAGGAGAAGGGAGGCTTCAAATTCATATGTGAAAGGGACAAACCTGGAGCTCTGGGCGATCTTTGTAGGGTCTATCTTTTTTAAGAGAATAGATAGGTTACCCTCTTCAGCCACACCTTTGTTTTTGCTTGAGGTGTGATGGTTCCCTTTTGATTTCTCCCCTTGGATGAAGATTCCATAGGAGAGATGCCCTTCTGCACGGGTGCTAGTCTCGTATGATATTGTATGGTGAAGTCTCGTCATCGTCGTCATCTTCATCATCATCATCACAAAGGTCGCATCCAGTGTCAGGTAGATGAAGGTCTTCATTGTCATCATCTTCTTCCTCTTCACTATCCTCATCACCAGAATTTACTGTGCCTCGGGGATAAGGCTTGTTTCAATGACTGAAGCCTGTTGAGATGTAACAGTCAGCGACTTGGCTGACCTCTTTTTAGTTTTCTTGGCCCTCAATGAAGGACCAATATTGTCTTAAGAGGAGGTCCTCTTAAAGAATATGGATGTGGTGGTTGGGATAGACTGAGGGGAATTTGCCTCAGCCATGGCCACCGGGGTAGAAGTCGAAGGTAAGGAAGACATACAGTTGGCGATTACGAGCATGGGATCAAAAAAGTCAACATCTGCAGGTTTAGACTTGTGGTCCAAGATTCGAGACCCAAGCCTACAGATGGGCATGTTAACTTCTGTGGGGTACTTGTTGCCAAATATTTTGTCAAACATCATGCACAAGAACCTGGTGTATGGTACCACCTTCTCGTGTTGGCACTTGTTCAGCTTTAGCACCAGGTCTTCCAAAATCAACTCTACAAAGTTGACCTTCAGTTGGCGTATGACCGAGACGCCAATGTTGAGAGCCATACGCGGGGCCTGGTCCTGGCGACCTGTCTTGCCTCCCATGCATTGGATGAAATGGGAGAACAAGTATAGCCATACCACGGACATGCGGTTCTTCTCAATCTTGGACAACGACTTGAGAGACTCGTTGGGGTCCTTCTTTGATGGCCAATTGTAGCCAATATCATCAAGACAGTTGATGAAATATTCAGTGGAGGGTTCACTGGCTTATGGAGTAGTCTTAGGTAGGTGGAGAGCAGTCCTCAAAGTAGGGATGCCAAAGCTGATGGTCATCTTGTTGAAGGTGAAGGAGATTTTCTCCACCTGGTTTCTAGATTTATCACTTTCTTATTTCACTTCAGCA